CTCCCCCTCTGGGGGGCGGGGCGGTTCCCTCGCAGGCCCGAGGCTCGAAGAGGCGACGCAGTAATAATACTGCAGGCGGGTTCTGGCATAGCCATCGAACCCATGCCATAGATAGGGACGAGGATGTCTGGCGGGGCATATACCCTATTGCACCCAGACATCGACCATCAGGTCTGCTCCAGTGGGTGATCGTTATTCACTAACTATCACCCGTTGCACACTGGGCGTTACTGATGAAGTTGCGGCTCATGAGCCGTCCCCCCTGAATCGACCGGGGTAACCCGGGGCGGCGGAAGGGGGAAGAGGTAACACGATTCGTGGGGGGCTAGGCGTAGTCCCTCACCTCAGATGATGAGGTGTGACGGAGCCACCTCCACGATTCGCGATGAAGGGCTGGAGGTGCGGGCAGAAAGGCGTCGCATTATACGTATGGTGAACTACGGACGACGGGGGGTCCGACGTAGTCCTCCCCCATGAAGGGGAGTGTGACGAAGTCGCCCTCGCCGCCCGGTGGAATAACCTATGATAGGAGTGTGCGAGCGACGATAGGTGAGGACTATGCGCGTCGCGTAACAACGTAAGAACTAGGCTACGTAGTATGAACCGGACTCGCGTGGCGCGCTCGCGTCGGGGCGTCTGCCCGTCTCGTAAGAGACGGAGCGGGGGCACCGGCGGGATGCGTCGGGCCCTGTCCCGTCCCCTCTCGGTCGACCAGCTTCCCTTGGGAAGCGGGAATCGATCCGGGAGGTACACGGGCGGGCCATTGCCGTGTGGGAAAGGGGAAATGATTAGTCGCCCAAAGGACAGGAGTAACATAGGTTACTGTGGATGCGAAGCGAGACACTCGTATATGATTGGGTGGGAATCTTCGCGAAGACCATATGTGTATCTTAATGAACAGGAAGGCGTTTTGCGTTGATATTCCCTATGCTACTGGAGAAGACCTCAAAGGAAGAGAAGGAAGGAGAAGAAAAGGAAGGAGGCGAACCATGTAGTTGGTCGGCGAGCTATATGGCCGTAATTCTTCGCCGACAACCGATACAATAAATGGAAATGGACAAGGACAAAGAAAATGATGTGCAGGAATCCGGATGCCTGCAGCGGTTTCCCGGGGGTAGTGTCCCCGCCCCCGGGCGATCGACCCCTGAGGCTTCGGGCCAGGGACTAACCGTGGAGTGGCCGACGGGCTCCACGGCAGATCATGCTACCGACCGGAGAGAAGAGAGGAAGGAAGTAGAAATACCTCCCGAAGGAAAGGCCATCAGGAGAAACAAGGATGGCGATATGGAAATAGGAGACATATATGGGAAGTGTCAAAGGAAACGAGACCGGAAGAAATAACACAGGTAAACCTACCTACAATGACGGATCTACCGGAAACGGAAGATACCAGTACGATGAAAGACTCACTTCAGGAAGCTGACACATTGGAGTTAAAAGACCTGAGGATTACAAAAATCAGTTACAAAGGCGATGGAACGAGTGACTCCTCGACCAGGGGAACTCAACCATCCAGAAGAGTGGCAAGCTTTAAGAAAGAGCTAAAGACTCTTCAACAAGATATGGAGATCTTAAGAAACAGAAGAGACAGAACTCCCAAGGAGGATACTTCTCCAAGAACAAGAGCAAGGATACAGGAGGAGAGACTGATGTTGGAGAGGGAAACGCCTAAAAAAAAAAGTCGGAATAGAAGACACGATAGTGACTTGGAGGAAGAGATTCCCCTGGCATATAGACCTGCTTTAAAAGGAAACAGGAAACTACTAGAAGACGTACCCAGTATGCAGAAAAAGGTGAACCAAAAAGGGCACATCGTGATAATTGATGATAGAAAGAAAAGAGAAACATCTCCCCCATCTCCTACTTCCACGGAAATGGCCACAGAGGAGACAGAAGGAGAACCTCTAACCGGGATTACGGGAAGCGAGACGGAATACCGCACAACAAGAAAGAGGAAGAGGAAAACCAGGAAGAGAGAATGGGAAACAGACGAGAGAGAGAAACGTATGGTTCCCAACGCACGAACCGAGAAGAAAAAAACAGATGCAACCTATGTGTGCGGTAGGACTGTACAGCCTTTTCTGAAACCCATGAATAAGGAAAGACAGAGGATCAGAAACTTAAGAATCGCTGCAGTAATGCTGAAATATGATGAAGAAGGGCCGACGTATGCCGAAGTGTTAGGATTTGCAAGGAGAAACATAAACTTGCAGGATCTCGGTATCACGAATATCAAGATAAGACGGGCACAATCAGGGGGTATACTAATTGAAATACCTGGAGAAAATGCCGTCAGTAAAGCGGAGAACCCGAAAGAACGCCTAAACGCGGCATACCGAGACAGAGATCACTGCGGCAAAGTCAATGTCATAAGGCCAAAAAGAAGGGCCGAAATTAGAATTATTGACATTGATGAATCTGTGGAAATCGAGGAAGTTAAAAAGGCTGTTTCTGAATCCGGAGGAATTTCTATAGCAGAAATAAGAACTGGCCCCCTGAGAAAAGGAAGGGGTGGTATGGGTACTATTTGGGTACAATGCCCAATGGACTGTGCCGACAGGCTGAGTAAAATGGGCAAAATCCGAATGGGATGGTGGCAAAAGTGATCCCACTGGCGAGAAGACGCCTACAGTGCTACAGGTGCCTCGCAGTGGGACACACTCGTATCAACTGCAGGAGCATAGTTGATAGATCGCGTATGTGCTTCAATTGCGGAAAAGACGACGGACATCTAGCGGTTAGATGCAAGGCACCACTGAAATGCTCGATTTGTCAATTCAGAGGACTGAAAGCGGATCACAGAGCTGGGGCAGAAGGATGCATGCCATACAACGGTCCCGGAGGAAAAGTGAACGAGGAACAAACCGATACAAGAGAAGAAACCGCTATAGAGACAGAGGCAGATCGGGGTGCCTCTAATACTACACAGCCGGAAATGGAAGACAACATTCACCCCACTGGTACGTAATATTGCGCAGGTGAACGTCAACCGTTCCAGACCCACGCAGGACCTGATACAGAGAACCAGCGAAGAATATGAGTTGGGAATCGTGATCATCTCTGAACCCCACTCAATACCGGACGATGGAAGATGGGTGGCTTCAGTGATCCGACATCAGCCGCCATTACATGGCAGTGGACAAGGAACGACGACCCCTGCACATTGGCATGGAGGGGCGAAAGATATGTAGCCGTAGAATGGGGAGAATTGACAGTGATCAGTTGCTATCTCCCAGCCTCGATATAGAGAAATATAAGGATGCTCTCCGAAAATTGGAACACCAAATAAAGACGGCTAGACCCAAAGTATTAATGATAGCTGGTGACTTTAATGCTAGGTCGCCAGCATGGGATAGAGGAAAAGAAAATAGACGAGGGCGAATCCTTCTGGAATGAATTGGAAAAATGGACCTCCAAATCCTAAACGACGGTGCTTCATGGACATGCGTACATCCAAGAGGTAACTCATGCGTGGATATAACGCTCGTATCAGGAAAGGTAGGTCGAAAAGTGGAGAAATGGCAGGTCCTGGAAAAGGTGGAATCGCTATCAGACCACAGATACGTCTATACGTCAATTTTGACAACCGTGGTGGGACCGATAATAAGAAACACCGCTCTTAAAGAGTTCCCCAGATGGGTCACGAGAAAAGTGAACGTCGACATGATGGAAGCTGCCGCTGAGATCGCCGGCTGGACCGGCACACAAGGCAACTATAAAACGATGGCCAAAAGAATGGACCGAATTATGACGGAAATCTCGGACGTCTCTATGAGACGTAAGGGTCCCGCCAGTAGACCCTCGATCTACTGGTGGAACGAGGCAATAGCGGAGATTAGGGCAAAGTGCAACTCATGCAGGCGCCGGCTTAAGAGAGCTCGAACTAAAAACACTTCAGAAACTCTAGAAACCTGGATATGGATGGAACTTAAAAAACAGAGGAGAAATCTAAGAAACGCGATAAGAAAAGCCAAGACGCGGTTATGGCAGGGACGGCTGGATACCCTGGACAAAGACCCATGGGGACTGCCATACAGGATAGTCCTTAAGAAGCTACAGAGTGGATCGGGATCCAGCGTTGAGACGCTCCCACCTGGGCTGATTGAGAGAATAGTACGGACCCTATTTCCAGTGATTTCTAGAGAACCCAAAGAAGAATTGGAAGTATTAGAATGGAAGAATGAGGATGCCGTAACAACCTTGGAGGTGACAGAGGCCATAGCCAAAATCAATAAGGGTAAAGCACCAGGACCCGACGGTATTGCGGGTAAAATTGTTAAAGACACAGGGAACCAGCTAGCCCCTCTATGGGCGAGGTGCTTCAACGAATATTTGAAGGAGGGTAGATTCCCAAGAGACTGGAAGACTGCCAGGTTGGTATTAATAAAGAAACCAGGCAAACCTGAGCATTCCCCGTCCTCATATAGGCCGATTTGCCTATTAAATGAGGCGGGGAAATTATTCGTAATCATCGTAAAGAATCGGGAAAGAATCATCGTAAGAAGACTCCAAGAACACCTCGAAGCAACGGATGGCATTTCGAGCCGTCAGTATGGATTCCGTGCCAATCGATCGACCATCGACACGATTTGGAGGCTCCGCGAATGGATTGATGAAGGTATTCGGGGTGGGGATGTGATGTTTGCGATATCTTTTGACATCGCCAACGCATTTAATACCCTACCCTGGTCAACAGTAAAAGACGCGCTCAAGGACAAAGAGGTACCGGAATATTTACGTCGGATTATAGGCGATTACCTAAGTGACAGAACCTTGGTCTACGTAAATAGAAGGGATGAAATAGTTAGATCGGAGATGACGTGCGGCGTACCGTACAGGGATCGGTACTCGGACTGACCCTGTGGAACGTAGGATACGATAGTGTCGTTGGGACACCCTTACCTGCGGGATGCACTACGCTATGCTACGCGGATGATACTTTGCTGATGGTAACGGGAGCCACTTTTGAGGAGGCGAAAACTAGGGCCGAACGGGGGGCAATGTATATTATATCCCTCATAGAGCGCCTAGACCTAAGGGTATCAGTGTCGAAGACAGAGGTGGTAATGTTTGGGGCGAGTGAGGTCCCGGATGGCGCCGGAATCCGAATAGGAGACGCGAACGTCCCGATTGGGTCCACCGTGAAATACCTGGGACTCACCCTGAACTCGCGGTGGACCTTTAGGGAGCACTTTCGAAGGTTGCTACCTAAGGCAAAGAAAATGGCGGCGGCCATAAGCCGACTAACAAATATAGGCGGACCGGGCGAGAGAAGAAGGAGGATGTACGCGTCTGTGGTCATGTCGGTGATCCAATATGGGTTGCCGATATGGGCACAGACGGTGGCGAGGGACCGATCGATCATTCGGGACGTCGGCCGCCTGGAGCGGCAATTGGCCCTCAGAGTGACGCGGGCATATAGGACGATCTCATACGATGCTGCGGCTCTACTATCTCGGATAGTGCCCATCGTGTACAATAGCAATAGGCATAGAAGGGCATACTTACGCAGACGTGCAATTATTGAAAGGGACGGATATATAACGCCGAGAGTACGCGACGATATTACGGAGCAGGACGAAAGACGAGCAATAAATAGGCGGTCTCGCGGATACCCGGGAGAAGCGGTTCGTGGGGTGGCGCTTCTCGATTTCGAGTCCTGGATGAGTAGAGCACATGGTAGTATCTCGTACAGGATGACTCAGATAATTACCGGCCACGGTTGCTTTGAGTCATACCTGTGCGGGATAAATAGAAGGAATTCGCCTTTGTGCAGATACTGCAGAGCAACATCTGACACAAATGTGCACACGCTCTTGTTCTACTCCTTTTGGGCAGAAGAACGAAGGGAAATGCTACAAAGGATGAAAGATCCTACAATGCAATTATAGGCACAGCGATGAGCTCCGCGGAGAACTGGGAAATCTTTTCCCGGTTCTGCGAAGACGTTATGAGGAGAAAGGAGGAAGATGAGCGCTCCTGGGAAAGGGGAACGGACCTACCGGGATATGCCCTTCCCCCTCATAGAACCCGGTAATCCCGGAAAATAAGTAGGCACAGGTAGGCACTTGGAGTAGATATAAATAATGTAAATATTGTGCATAATTAGATAGTAAGTAAGAGGAATATAATTCCTTATCGGGGGGCAGGGGATAACGATATATCCTTCCGATGCGCCTCTGAGAAATGAGAGGCTGAATAGCGTACCGGGACTGGTAATGTATAGACGCACAACATCTCTGATAGACCGCGCACATTGGGAGGGCATGTACCGATAGGTACCCTTAGAAGTAAAAGCCCGCTGTATATAGGAGATAAAGAGCGAACGCTCTATAAGCTAGGAGATCCTCGAAGAAATGCTAAGAAATGAGTCCCGGGGCTCTCTCCTATTATAGGCCAGGGGGGAAATGCTCCAGGGGGGGGTTTTTTAGTTAGTAGGCGTGCTTGCCACGGGCCCCCAGGGGGAGGTCTTGGCCTCTCACTGGGGAACCGAGGCCGGCGCGAATCTGGCACACCGGGTGATACGAGTCACCCGGCGTCTTTCCCTCTGCCCGGGTTGAACCCCGGGAGTCGGGGACTCCTGGTGGTCCCTGGGTAGGGGGTGCACGAAGATTTTTCCCCTCCCACGCAAAACAAAAAAAAAAGGTGTAAACTAGGACATTCCTAGATTAAAATGTAGTACAAAAGTAAGACATCAAGACATCAAGACTTAAAAGTGAGACAAAAAGGACATTTTGGGTAAAATTGTAGTACAAAATAAGTAGTACATTTGAACTTAAAAGTAAAAGAAAAAGAACCAGGAAAGAACAAGGGCAATAGGAGTTAAGCGCGGAAGACGTTGCGCAAATAATACAACTATATAGCGTAAAACTTTTTTATTTTATATAAGCAGAATTATAGTATGCCTATGGGCTTCCCGTTGTCTCCCATCATCGCGGATTTAGTTATGTAAAGGTTGAAGAGTAGAACTTTGTCTTCGATTAGATTCCCGTTGCCCTTTTATTATAGATATGTTGATGACATAATCTTGGCGGCTCCTGATTATTCGGTTAGTTCCATTCTAGAGATTTTTAATACTCAGCATCCACGGCTTCAGTTTACTATGGAAGTGGGGGGTGATAGATTAAATTTTTTGGATGTATAGTGATTAGGGATAATGAGACGATAGAGTTCGATTGGTACCACAAGCCGACTTTTTCAGGTAGATATTTGAACTTTTGGTTACAGCACCCAGTTTCCTAAATACCAGGTACAGTCCCGGGATTAGTTGATAGAATAGTTCTGCTTTCAAATCCCAAATTTCACTTTGGTAACTTTTGTTTCATAATTAAAGTATTGTTAGGGAATGATTATCCATTAAACTTTATATTTGAAAACATTAGCAACCGTTTGAAGAACGTTATTATGGCTAGTGATAGGAAGAATGTAGTTAAGGAGAATAGCGTGGATGTAGTGCAACCATCATGGTTCACGGTTCCTTTCATTCGTGGCATTTGAGAAGTTTAATAGATTAAAGAGCGATCATATGAGGTTGTCGTTTTATAGCATTAACAAATTGTGAGAATTCATTAGGGTACATAAGGATCCCTTACCGCGTAGTAATAAATAACTACATAAGAATGTAGTTTACAAGATTTCTTGTAAAGACTGTGACGCGAGTTACGTGGGACAGACGTGTAGACTGCTAAAAACAAGAGTCACGGAACACAAGATCCGATGGAACACGTCTACCCGCAACGTTATAACGGAGCATCGGTTGTAAGAGGGCCATGATTTCGATTGGGACAACGTTACAATACTGGACGAGGAACCATACTATAGGAAGAGATTGACTTCGGAAATGATATTCATCAGGAGACAGACCCACGGACTTAACATGCAGATGGAGGGGCTTCCCAAGGCCTACCTCCCGATCATCGACAAGCTATAAAAGGTCGAATTGTTGTCGCGCCTAGTCAGTCAGTATCACTCGCACACAGGAAGAAGTCTTTCGGGCGTTGTTTTTAAATCATTTTCAAAATTTCTTTTCTTGAATTTGATTAATTTTTTAACGGCAGTTTTCTAATTGCTATCTCAATAAAGACCAACTAAATTTAAAAGTGACTCACTTTGTCTGACACTGACTGGCCAACATATCAGAAACCGGTTTTTGAATTATTAAAAATAATATTTGCGATATGGTACCTTGTGATCAGGATGAGCTTTCTAACTTTCGGGATAATCAATTACAATTTCAAAATTTTTTGATACATTAGTTTTTCATTTTACCTATTTCGAGATTTCCAAAATTTCTTTCCTTTTTTCTTTATTTCATTCGTATCTGAGTTTAATTCTGGCATTTATATTCTCAATGTGGGGGAGCTCACCATGACAAGTTAATATTTGTTACATTCTATATGTGAATTTATGCTGTCTTTCAAAAATGAGCCGAAACATGTAAACGCGTTTAGTAGATAGATAGATAGGTAGATAGATAATTTATTGTTCCCCTCGGGGTTACAATTTATATACACACATTACATACGTACAATTCTCATACATACCTACATACACCACCAATTTTCTTACGTATTGTCTTATCCTTTTTTTTTGTCGAAGTGGAAATCTTCTAAAGACACCCGGGGGAGCGACCCACCGGGTAGTGTCGGATTCGCCTGTTGGAGGAGGGGTAGCTCACAACTCCGCCAGGCGCCTACCGAGGCGAAAACCACTCCGCGGATTACCGCCGCCTACAACGTTCACTGAGGGGGAACCGCGCCTTTGCAATACTTCCCCTCAGTGAGCATCGGCAATAGGCCGGGGCCTTCATCCCTCGTTGCCGGGGGTTGCGAGCCCCCGG